CCCGCAGGAAGCCCCGGGCGCACGGAGCGGCGCCAGCCCGCTCATCTGCGACGCCTTCCTTGCCTCCACCAGCCAGGACGGGCCGGCGACACTCAACCCGAGTGGCTGCACCGGGTGGGCGCCCCGTCCAGGAACCGGCAAACCTCGCCTGACCTCACCGCCCAACAATGCCCGGCGAGGCCTGGGGACAGGAGGTGACAGCATGGGGCGGGGCAGCGCAATCCTCTGACCCTCGCTGGACCCCAGCCCTCGGTCCCCCAGCTCGCCTGGTGCGAGTCCCAAGTGCGGGCTTCTTGCTGTCGGCAGCCCGCGCGCATCCCCCCTGGGTCCCCGGCTCACCGGACGGACGGACGAGTGGGCTGGAGAGCAGCGCACGCCGACAAGGGGCTGCAGTGGCGAGTGGCGCGCGGGGCGGCTGGCGGGGGTTTTCAGGAGGTTCCCGCCTCGGACGGGGAGGGCCAGGGGCGGGGCTGCAGCGGCGAGACGTTAAAGGCGCCGCAGCGCCTGGGAGCGTCCGGAGGGTTGTGCCAGAGCTCGGAGCCAACACACGAGTTAGGGACCCTGGGGAGTCAGGGGTCTGGAGGGCAGCTAGCTACAGGGGGTTTCCGTCCGTGAGAACTTCAACTTCCACCCCAGAACCCTTTGGGAAACTTCCCGCCTAGGAAGCTAGCTCAACTGTGGTGTATTTATAAAGGCATTTAAAGTACATGAAGGTATAGGAAGACCCCTACCCCCGCCCCCCGCCCCTCCCTTCCTCACCCCTAGCAACTGAATGGCGCTTGCAGGCCGGGACAGCACCCCCCACGTGGTCCGGTTTGCCACCGCCTTCAAGCCTGGGCAGGAACTAAAAGTGAGGTCACTCTGCCGCAGGGCCCAGTATGCTTTCTCCCTTTCATCTCCTCCTCTGTGACCTGCCGTCTGTTCTGAAATCCTCCAGGCCTGGGTGGAGTGGAAGAAGCCGGCAGGGATTCTGAGGTTTCCGAAGCCGGGATTGAGGGCAGACGGAGGGCAACATAGTTTAGAGGTTGAAGGAGCAACTCCCAGGCCACCCCATTAGGGCTTCTGTTGAGCAGTCTCCCTTAGGGTGAGGTCCCTGCTTACACCCACCCGTGGCGTTTCTTGATTGGTAGAGTCCCTGTTTGGACTGGCCTTGAGGACATCAACTACCAGTGGCTCTTCCGTTCTCTCTCCTCCAATCTTAAAACCAGCTGCCCCCACAGGATGAGGACTTGGGCTCTGCTTGTTGCAGAGACCTGCACTCCATCCGGCTTTCAAGGCAGTGGTCTTATGGAAGTGGATCACCAGGCCTTTCTTCCCCAGTGGCCCTGGGCAACTTTCAGGTAGTCATCCAATTCCACCTATCCCACCAAATTACCAGTCTCCGATAGGCCGAGTTTTCCATCCTCTGTGTCTTTATAGACCAGTTCTCGGCCTGGAGTGGGTTTTTCTTTGTTCACGGGCTTCTTGTTGGCTCTATAGCTTACTTTGGGCCGATCCTTCAACCCTTTGTAAAGGAGCCCTGGTGCTGTAGTGGGTTACCCATTGGGCTCCTAAGCGCAAGGTTAGCAGTTTGAAATCACCTGTAACTCTGGAGAAAGACGGGGCTTTCTGCTCCTGTGAAGAGTTATAGTCTTGGAAACCCACAGGGGCAGGGGCAGGGGCAGCTCTACTCTGCCCTATGGGGTCACTAGGAGTTGAAATCGACTCCATGACAGGGAGTCTATAAAACAGTAGCGCTCCTAGTAGTACCTGCTTCAAGGGGTTGTGAAGGGTTACCTAACAGGTGCAAGCACAACTCAACCGCCTTCAAGTTGATGCCGACTCCGTGACTCTATAGACCAGGGTAGAACTGTCCCCTGTGGGTATCTGAGACTATAACTCTTTACCGGAGTAGGACGCGGTCTTTCCCCCTTGGAGTGGCTGGTGGTTTTCATACTTGCGGATTGCAGCCCATGTAACCATTACCCCACCAGGGCCCCTTTTATCAAGCAGTGCCTGACCTATAGAGAATGCTCAAATGGGTAGCTATTATGATTACTTTCTGAGAGGAAGCCTCTGGAGCCCAACCACATACCGCCTCCTCCCCCCAAAAGGAGCACGTGGCCCAGCACATGCTGTCAGCGCTCACTGGTTGTTGACTTGAACCGAACTCCGTCGTCGTGCTCGCATGATGGCCAGCACGTGGGTTTTGCGTGGAACTTATCGCATACTGTAACTCTTTCTTTACTTGCCTGACTAGAAAGGGGTCCCCAAGGGCAAAGGCATGCCTTAGAAAACGCTGTTGTCTCAGCAGTTAGGATCAATGACGGGTCCTTAGAGGGTGGCTTCCGGAGGCACGCCATCACTGCCTTCTGGAGGAAGGCTCAATCCACCCCCATGTATTCAGGAAGACGCCTTCTTTTAGGGTCCTGCGATTTTCCTATCTCCTTCTCTTTCAGATTCTTGACCAGATAACACACAGCTACATTTTTCAGATTTTTTTATTCACCTGTAAAAAACCTCACCCACACTACAAGCAAAACACACACACACATACACACACACACACACACACACACACACATCCCACAAAGAGGCAGACCTAAGAACCAATCCCAAGATGCACCTATGTCTCGTATCAAACCCTGCCCAAGCCCACCACCAGAGTCTGTGTCATGGCACCAAGGGTTGGGGGAGGGCCCCAGACTGGGGCTAGGTCTTGGAGGCATCCTTTGCAGGGTCCATGAGCCTGTGCCCAGCGTCACACCAAGGGTGATCACAGCAAAGTGGCCTGCTCAGGGTGGGGTGCTGGCTGCCGATAGATTGGGTAGCGGGCCCGAGTGGCATCTCGGCGGCGGCGGAAGGCCAGGAATTCCTCTCGAAGGGCAGCGCAGCGGGCCTCGGGGCCAGCAGCATGAGCAGCATTCAGGGGGCAGCCTTCATCCGGGGTCTTAGTGCCTGCAAGAGGAAGGCAGGAGAATGAGCAGAGGAAGAAGGACCGAGGCTCCCAGGCTGGAAGCTCAAACGTGAAGCTCAGCAGGGTCTTCCAGTACAGATGGGCCACGGGAGGAAGACAGCCCTGAACAGAGGAGCCAACTGGAAAAGACCAGGCTTGGACGCCTTGCAGGATGTGGGACATTGAGCTGGGAGGGCCTGCCCTCCTGTGGGGTTCACACACCTAGCTCTGGCTCAGCTTCAAATCGAGGCTGGGGGCTTGCCAAGCCCAGGTGCAGGGTCTCCAGCAGTTCCATATCCCCAGGAAATTCTGAGTCCCACTCATAGTTCTCATCCACAGACGTGTTCCTCCTATCAAACAGGACAAACGTGGGTGTGTGGAGGAATGCAGGAGAGCCAGGAAAGGCTGGAGAGAGGTCCCCAAAACGTAGGGTCCCCAAAACGTAGGCTTTACCACAGCCTTACCCGAATATCCCTAAAACCAAACCAGTTGCCAGCTGGTCAATTCTGACTCACAGGGACCCTGTGTGTGCAGGGCAGAACTGCGCTCCAGAGAGCTGAGAGCTGTGGCCTTGCAGAAGCAGATTGCCAGACCTTCTCTTCTGAGGCACTGGCGGGAGGGTGGGAAGGAGGGGTTGAGCCATCGACCTTTCAGCTAATAGTGGAGAGCTTAACTGTTTGTGCCATCAAAAGAAAGAAAAGCAAAAGCAAACCCACACCAAACCCATTGTCATCAACTCAGAGCAACCCTAGTAGAGGTAGAACTGCCCCCTAGGGGTTCCACGGCTCTGGACTGCCACATCTTTATCCCACAGAACAGCTGGTGGGCTCGAGCCACCAACCTTCATCTGGACCTCAGCTAAACGCACACACAAACACAGGAGGTCTCCAGGCCCTGGGGTGGAGTGGGGCAGAGAGAGCGGAGGGCACAGGGGAGACGTTTGAGACCACGGACAGGAATGGGTCATACCCTCACCTCTTGCTGACTGTCACCACGTGTTCCCGTCGGGGCCACCTCTCAGGGACACTGGCCCAGCTGCTGGTGTCCCCTGGAGCCGGGCTGAGGTAGCTGCCTCCTGCAGAGGGGGCTGTGGAGGGGGGGCGCAGGAAGGAAGCGCTGCCCCTCCCACTGCTCTGGCTGGTGAGGCTGCCCCTGGGGGCAGCGGGAAGGAGGCTGGGAAGCAGCCTCTCCTTCAGGGTCCAGTCAGCCAGTGCTGTGTAAGGGGGCTCTGGGGCAGCACCAATCCCTACCAGGGCCCCAGGGAACACAGTTCTGGGGGAGACAAGGGGCGAGTCCAGGGGGCGAAGGAGAGATGACGTAGGGCAGGGCTGGGTGTCCATGTAATCTGGGGGTGGGGCAGCGCTGGGGTCCTCCAGGGGAGGCCAGTCCCCATCCACGTTCATCTCCCGGAAGAAGGGCAGGCTCAGGTACTGGAGCAGGGGGCCTCGGCCTGTCAGGGGGGTAGGAGGGGCTGCCGGAGACAAGCCTACAGGGCTGATATCGGCAATGCAGAGGGGCTGGGTGGCCCCCCGGGGGCTGCTGCTGCTGCAGTCAAAGGCCTGCACTTGACGAAGGGCTGGGGTTCGAGACCCGGGCCGCTCTGGGCCTGACTTTTCTTGGGAAGCTCCCATGCTGGGTCCCATCACAAAGCGCCCATCTGGGCCCCGGCAAATGGTCTCCAAGGGTAAGGGGCCCCTGTTCGGTGGAGGATCTGGAGGAGGGCTGGGGGGTCCGGAAGGCTCTCCCCAGAGCAGACTCTGGCGCAGGCTGGGTGCTGGGGAGCCCTGGAGCTTCAGCTTCGCCACGCTGTCGGGGCTGCCAGAGCCCGGAGCAGAGCTGAGGAGGGGCAGGGAATGCGGGTCTGGGGCCAGTCCCGCTCCCAAGAGCCAGCGTCCGCCCTTGAGAGGTCGGGAGCCCAACAGAGGAGCCCAACAGAGTAGCGCTGGGGGGCGGGGACGGATCAAGTGGGAGAAAGACCAAGAGAGTGAATGGGTGGAGGGAGGGCGCAGCCATGCTGGACCTGCCCCTCGCTGAGATGTCTGCACCTCAATTCTCTTCTCCCTCTACCACCGGTTCCCTGTGCCCCCACCCCTCCCCAAAGTGCAGGAAAAGCAGCAGAGGGATGCCAGAGCTGGCGAGACTTACTGCGGAGCCAATTTCCGGGGCGGAGAGAAGATCAGAGGTGGGTCTGTGAGGGCAGTAGACCACAGGCAAAGGATAAGCTCCTCGGGGGGCCTAGGCGCCAACTCCATCACCCAAGTGAGGCGCCCAGCTTCACGCCGGAGGCACCCAAGTGGGAAGAACAAGTTGGCCTGACTGCGAGAGTGAACCCCCGCG